GTGCAGCTGCAGGATGCCAGGCCGTGGCGCTGTCTTCGGTGCTTCGGCACCGGCCACGGCCTCGCCAAGTGCCCCTCGACCGTGGACCGCAGCGGCTTGTGTTTCCGCTGCGGCCAACCGGGGCACAAGGCAGCCTCCTGCACCACAGCCGCGCCGCACTGCGTCTTGTGCGACGCGGCCAAAAGGAAGGCCGACCACCGGGCCGGGGGCCCGGCGTGTAAATCCGCCCCCTCCTCTACAAAAACGAGGAGGGGCGGAAAGAAAAAGAAGCCGGCTGCAAAAAGGGCAGCCGGTGAGTCAGCTCCCGCCGCGGCACCAGAGCAGCCGCAAGGCGGGACAGACGAGGGAGCGATGGACGTAGCCCCGTAATGGGTTGCGTCCATCGCTTCCTCCAAAGTAATTTGAACCACTCCGCCAGGGCACAGGATCTCCTCGTCCACACCATGGCGGAGTGGTCAATCGACGTCGCTGTCGCCGCGGAGCCGTACTTCGTCCCCACCGACCAGGACTGCTGGATGGGGGACGTCGACGGCTCCGTGGCCATTGTGTTGAGACAGTCCGCGGCGTTACCCCCCTTGGATATGGTGGCCAGGGGACCCGGGTACGTCGCGGCTAGGATCGACGGGACCGTCGTGATCGGGGCGTACTTTTCTCCGAACAGGAGCCTCGCCGAATTCGAACGGTTTCTGGGCGGGCTCGAGGCGCTTTTACACCGCCTCGGGTCCCGCCCTGTCATCGTCGCGGGGGACTTCAATGCCAAGTGCACGGCTTGGGGTTCCCCCCGCACGGATGCGCGAGGCGAGGCCCTTTCGGAGTGGGCGATCGCGACCGGCCTCTGTCTCCTAAACAGAGGCACGGTCGCGACTTGCGTGCGGTGGAACGGGCAATCTCACGTGGACGTGACGTTCGCGTCCCCGTCCGCCGTGCGCCGCACCCGCGGCTGGCGCGTACTCGAGGGGGCGGAGACGCTCTCGGACCACAGATACGTCCGATTCGAGCTCTCCGCCTCCTCCTTGTCGTCGTCGTCAGCCGCGGGCGCCCGCGGTGAGGAGGAGCTCCCGCAAGGTGCGCCCCGTTCGTTCCCCAGGTGGGCCTTGAAACGGATGAACAAGGAGTTGCTGATGGAGGCGGCCGCTGTTGCTGCGTGGGCGCCAAAACCCGCGCGGCTCGCGGACGTGGATGCGGAGGTCGACTGGTTCCGGGGCACCATGGCAAACATTTGTGATGCCGCCATGCCCCGGGTCGGCCCCCGAGCACCACGTGGGGGTGCGTTCTGGTGGTCGCCCGAGATCGCAAGACTCCGCGAGGAGTGCGTGAGGGCGCGCCGCCGGAGCGCACGCCACCGCCGCCGCCGTCGTCGCGACGCTACGTTCGCGGAGACGGCGGCCCGGCTGCACGCTGACTGTCGTCAAAAGCAGACGGCGCTGCAGCTGGCCATCGGCGAGGCCAAGAAGCAGAGCATGAAGACTCTCCTGGAGTCGCTCGACGAAGATCCCTGGGGGCGCCCATACAAGATGGTTCGCAGGAAACTGCAGCCGTGGGCGCTCCCGGTGACCGAGCGGCTCCAGCCTCGGCAGCTGCGGGAAATAGTTTCCGCGCTTTTCCCGCCGGCAGCGGGGGGGGACTTTGAGCCCCCCCAGATGGACGCCACGTGGGGCACGCCTCCGCGTCGCCCCAGCGTTCCCGCTGCCGAGGAGCCCCCTCCCCCTATCACGGGGGCGGAGATCCATGCGGCCGTGTCCAGAATGAGAGCGAAGGACGCGGCCCCCGGCCCTGACGGCGTTCACGGCCGGGTCTGGAGCTTGGCCTTCGAGGCCCTAGGGGACCGGCTCGGGGGGCTTTTCGAAGCGTGCCTCGAGTCGGGACGGTTCCCGTCGAAATGGAAGACGGGCAGACTGGTCCTTCTGCGGAAGGACGGGCGCCCCGCGGACTCACCCGCGGGCTATCGCCCCATCGTGTTGCTGGACGAAGCGGGCAAGATGCTCGAGAGGATCGTCGCGGCCCGCATCGTCCGGCACCTGACCGAGACGGGTCCCGATCTTTCGGCGGAGCAATACGGCTTCAGAGAGGGCCGCTCGACTATCGACGCAATTCTGCGCGTGCGGGCCCTCTCCGACGAAGCCGTATCCCGGGGCGGGGTGGCGATGGCGTTATCCTTAGATGTAAGGAACGCCTTCAACACCCTGCCCTGGTCGGTGATCGCGGGGGCGCTGGAGTATCACGGCGTCCCCGCATACCTCCGCCGACTGATCGGCTCCTACCTCGAGGGCAGGTCGATCCAGTGCATCGGACACGGTGGGGCGATGTACCGCTTCCCCGTCGAGCGCGGTGTTCCGCAGGGGTCTGTCCTGGGCCCCCTGCTGTGGAACATCGGCTACGACTGGGTCCTGCGGGGCGTCATTCGGGGTCCCCTCCCCGGGCTGAGCGTAATATGTTACGCCGACGACACGTTGGTCGTGGCTCCGGGGAGGGACTACCGGGAGTCTGCCCGTCTGGCGTGCGCAGGCGTGGCACACGTCGTCACAAGGATCCGACGGCTGGGACTCGAGGTGGCGCTCGACAAAACCCAGGCCCTGTTGTTTCACGGGCCGGGACGAGCGCCGCCTCTGGGTGCCCACCTCGTGATCGGAGGCGTCCGCGTCGGGGTCGGGGTGACCGGTCTTCGGTACCTCGGCCTTGAACTGGATGGTCGGTGGAACTTCCGCGCTCACTTTGCGAAGTTGGGCCCTCGACTGATGGCGACGGCCGGCTCTTTGAGCCGGCTGCTTCCAAACGTCGGGGGTCCCGATCAGGTGGCGCGCCGCCTCTACATGGGGGTGGTGCGGTCGATGGCACTATACGGGGCTCCCGTATGGTGCCACGCCCTGACCCGCCAGAACGTCGCCGCGCTGCGACGTCCGCAGCGCGCGATCGCGGTCAGGGCGATCCGAGGATACCGCACCGTCTCCTTCGAGGCGGCGTGCTTGCTCGCCGGGGCGCCACCCTGGGACCTGGAGGCGGAGGCGCTCGCTGCCGATTACCGGTGGCGTAGCGACCTCCGCTCTAGGGGGGAAGGGCGCCCCGGCGAAGGAGTAGTTCGAGCGCGGAGGCTCCACTCTCGGCGGTCCGTGCTGGAGGCGTGGTCTCGCCGCTTGGCGGACCCGTCGGCCGGCCTCCGTACCGTCGAGGCGGTCCGCCCGGTTCTCGCGGACTGGGTGGGCCGCGACCGCGGATGCCTCACCTTCCGGCTGACGCAGATGTTGACCGGCCATGGGTGTTTTGGCCGGTACCTCTTCAAGATAGCCGGAAGGGAACCGACGGCGCAGTGCCACCACTGCGCGGACCGCGACGAGGAAGACACAGCGGAACATACATTGGCGCGTTGCTCTGGATTCGACGAGCAACGCGCCGCCCTCGTCGCGGTCATAGGAGAGGACCTCTCGCTGCCGCGCGTCGTGGCTACGATGCTCGGCAGCGACGCGTCCTGGAAGGCGATGCTCGACTTCTGCGAGTCCACCATCTCGCAGAAGGAGGCGGCGGAGCGAGAGAGGGAGAGCTCTTCCCTTTCCGCACCGATCCGTCGCCGTCGAGCCGGGGGCCGGAGGCGGGAATACGCCCGTACGTCCCGGCCCCTGTAGGTGGCGGCCTCCCCCCGGTGAAGGTCAAGGGGCGACCTGAGGGGGTGAGGCCGCGCGGCGCGCTACCAGCACTCTAGCGCGCTGCCGTGGAGTGAATAGAGCGACCGGTCGACGGTGTATCGCGTCCCGACCCGGCAGGCTGGTTCTGGTCCAGCGGGGTATTCCGGGACACCAGCGGCACCGTCTGGGCGGCCCGACGGGCTGCCGTACCGAGACGGCCGACGTTTCAGAGCCTTCGATTCGCCTCGAAGGCTCCGTCGGCTGGGCGTCCTTGGGGTGAGCCGCGCCGTCTGGTTGTAGTGTTGACCGCGGTAGCCCCCCTACCTCATCCGGGTTCTGACCTCGGAGGGGATCGGGCGTCGGGTGTAAGAGTGCAGGGGAGTCGTTTAGTGGGTGGGTCCTAAAATCCTTGGGCCCGCGGTCTGCTCACAACACCATGCAGATCGTTGAGTCTCACATACCCCGCGCGCCCCTTTTGCGCGGGGACCTCGTAGGAGGTTCGGCCCTCTACCCGAAAAAAAAAAAAAAAAAAAAAAAAAAAAGGCTAAGGCTTACGCATTATCAGGGATGACAACTTGTCGTAGCGAAATTTGGCAACAAATACTTGCTATTTGCGATTGTCCATTTACCCAGTGGCGAAGCGATGTCATGATAATGCTAATAATAATGCTGTGCCTTTTTGCCACCTCGGCGTAGTATTACGTTAGTAACTCTTAGTATTTATGTGACAAATAAAATACTGAGAACTTTATAGTTTTTTGAAATCAAATACTGGGAGCAACTTATCAGATTGTCGCTAAGGATCTTCGAGTCTACGTTTAACTTCAGTCAAATAATAGTTAAAAATGAACCGATAATACTGCTTCCTGGAATTTTAATCGTTAGTACTATTACATTTTCTATATATTGGTTGTTTTTAAAGGTTTGCTGAAACTCTTAGAAACTAAAAACACGAATGTGCTTTGCACATTTTAACGGTAGACTCTAAAAGTCAAACAAAGCACTACCAGCTACGCAGTATACCTGCATAAGACATCTTAACTTCGCAAAAAAATATGGCTGTAGTAGTACGACCAGTACCGGTCCTCAATACATGCTATGTTTTTTTTACAATAGCTTCAATCTCCCAAGCTACCACATGTATTGGTGTTATGTGATGGAAATATGGGAGTTGAATCATAATAAACCATCCTGTTCATATTTAATTATTTATTTATTTATTTAATATATTTTGTACACACAGCTGTTAGAAGAAACACGACAATAAGGATACAGAGTACAAGGACACTACTTATTTCATGTTGAAATCTCTTCCAGTAGGCCCGCAAAAGGAATGAAGAATTAGGAACACAAATATTTACAAACATTATGTTTCAATTACAGAATTAACCGATGAGCAGAAAGCGCTTCAGGAACTAGCGCGTAAATTCACGAAGGATGAAATCATTCCTGTGGCGGGTCAATATGATAAGACGGGGGAGTACCCGTGGCCCGTTGTAAAGAAGGCTTGGGAAGTTGGCCTAATGAACGGACACATTCCAGAACATTGCGGTAAAGTTATCTGTTATCTTAAAACAAATATTTATCCGTTTCTGTTACATATTTCCGGCATAGTAGGTATGCACCATCAAAGCTGCATAATTCCGACAAGGAAGAAATTTTATTTTTTTTAAGTATAACAAGGAACTTTTCTGTCTTAGATATTAATCTAAGGTAGAAATTATAAATTCTTGAAGCTAAGTTAAGATTGTTAGAACCGAGCGGGTTTAGTTTGTTTAATAAAAGTTACTATTTAATTAACTTTAACAAAACTCGCCTAAGGTGTCACGGAGTTTATTTGATCTGATCATAAATACTATAAGAAAAAAAAGCTTTGAATTGGGAATGCTTTGTATTCGCATTTTCGCGATAATATTTGCCAAAACAAATTTTTAATACTATTTAAATGTAGTGGAGTGAAAAAGAGAACCATATTGCTATGATAGTATGTTTTACACGAAGCAGATATGGGAGCCAAATGTATTTTTTTAAATACTCCATCGGCTTGATAACATTCTACTGTTTGTGAAATGGAGTTTTGATGGGAATAACGATCCGTCTAAATAAAAACAGGCTATCCACGTAGTACTAATTCATAAAAATAAGGCGATCCATGCAGTGCAGAACAGAATCTGAAGAATCATGTCAAAAGGTTTTATCTACTTATAATATATTCGTATTACGTGCGACCGTAATGTGGTATAATTTAGAAATTATTTATGATTTGCTGTTTATTAGAGACGCACTGGTATTTACTTATCCGATAATTTGAAAATAAATAGAGTGGCAAAATTAAAAACACTTCTTAGGCAGCACGCGAAGTGAACTCAAAGCTTTTTTAAATATTTAATGACTAGTATTTTATACGAAAATGGCAAACGGAGCCTATAAGTTATCACTATAGGTGAATTTTGCCATAAAAATCTAGAACGTTTGTATCGCGACAAATAGGCAGAATTATCGTACCACAAGTAATTAGGAGAATTTATAAATTTAACGTTCTAGGGTTAATTTTTTTGTATCCACCGTGCATCACGAGTACACCAATTGGCCCGACCCATTAGGCCAGAATCTGTCAAAATGTTATAATTTTAAATATGTTATATTGTGGTCCCTAAAATCGATTCCACAGGAGGTCTAGGTTTAGGAGTGTTCGAGGCCTGTATTTTGAGCGAGGAGCTGGCCTACGGATGCTCTGGTATCATGGCAGCGGTGTACATCACCGAAGTTGGTGTGAGCACGCCGCACATACTAATTGTGTTTCACTAATCCGAAAAACGTGTGTCGAGCATGATATTGTTCTTACTGTAGTCCAGTTAAAAAAAAACAGGGGTTTGGAGGTTAACGTTATTATACTGGGATTTCTATGGTGCGGGGTATTCTCATCCATACATTTAACAAAGTTTTAAATGACTGAGGCATAAATAAAATGTATTTGAATATAAATACTGGAGGTTTTCAGGGGGCATAGGGAATTTTGGCGTCTTCGAAGAGTGCATCGTAGCGGACGAACTTGCGTTTGGATGTACTGGCATCACGACAGCTATTGGGGGCACGTCCTTAGGAGTGAGTCATACAATAGAACGCCTAAAAAAACTGTTATAAAAATGTTGGGGGGTTTTTAAATATATTTTTATTATTTCACGCGTAATCATCATGTACCTAATGTAAGCTATGCTATTTATAGTTTTATTATGCACAAAATAATATTAAAAACCTTAAATATTTGTAAGTAGTATTGGTAATGGTAATTGCTATTAAATGTCATAATTATACTGCTGTGATGTTTCTGTATATGTTATGTGCATGTCTATTTAACGTATTGATGTAGAATGAGTTTTCTAAAAACTAGCAAATGCACACTCCGATACAAATACTTAAAAAATAATGCAAATAACTAATGCGATTTTAAACTACAATATTTTAGTAGCTTTTACCAGCGGCTTCGCGTTACCGATGTTTTATGGACTTTTATTCGCTAATAGATACAAATTCAGAGCATTTGACACACTGGAACATGCTACATATCGACGCTTGAAAGGCAAACGTCACTAAGCGACAATAACTGCTTTGTACATAAATGATAGGTAATAACCATATTCGATGCGCAAAAAAAATATATTTCTAGGTCTATTAAAATCATTTCAATCCTACAGCTACTAGCTAGATTCTACTACAGCTAGATTCGTTGAAATAAATTTTGTTTTCAGGTATTTCAACTTTAAATTAGTCTACTGTAAAGTTCACGCATTGTCGCTTAGTCACGTTTGCCTTTCAAGCGTCGATATGCATTTCCGAATGTACTGATCAATTTTCCTTTTCTATACCATCATGTTCCTATTTATTCAGTAGATTTTCTTAGGGAGAACAATAAGAGCGTTTTTCTTTTCTGTAGCATCTTCTTATTTACCACACTATTCAATAGGACAAGTTTCGCCGGAAGACCGTCTTAAATCTGTCCTTCTAGAATAGTACATACTTCATTTTGGATGGTCTTTTTCACTAGTTAATATAGTTTTAGAAATACACTTTTTTGTCTAAATTTAATTTCCTGATTATATTTCAACCATTCTTGTCTATAGAGGGACCAGAGCTCATAACCAACCTTAAGATACGAGGTTAAAGTCTAATTCCCATTAGAATAACATCGTCTTATGCTTCGTACCGATATGCGTAACAGCTATGCGCAGACCAGGCGCTAGCTGTTTCGACGCCCACGTGAAATACCGATTATGCCGCCCTACGACTACTCACTCTTAAGTTTTGTCAAAAAAAGGATAATGTTTTCTCATTAAGGTGAGGAAAAACAAAAAACAACGAAGATTTTATTTTAAAGTACTTATTTACTCGATTTGTCGCCTCCTGGGTGCGCCGATCATGTGCGAAGTGTGTTGCACGATCTTTTACGCCGGCGGCGTTTCTATGCGATCTTAGATCGTAGATAGATGATACTAATAATTGCGAATCAATCAATGTATGTATGTATGTAGAGATAATCAGTAATAAAGTTAATTTTCAAATAGCAACAAAAATTAACCGCTTGTTTCACAGCTGCATGCAGTCGGTACCTATAATATAATTGTATTAGCATTTAGTGCAGGATTAATGCATGTCCTACCTGTAATGTTTTGTAACGATTTATAACATTTTGGTAACCAATAAATAAAATATTAAAGAAAACCTCAATGCCAACACGATGCACTGCCAAATGATTCATGATAAACGCAAATAGTATATTTATGATAAGCGAACGATTTAAATGTCACATACAAAATTAGGTTTGTTTTGTTTCCATATTCAACATAAAAAGAGATTAAAGTTTTATTTAATACAAATGCATATCTTGAACATGTCTTTCTGAAGTCTGGGTTTTAAAATTCATTTAATTCGCATCAAAAAAGTAAGATGTTTTATAATTAGAGAACGTAATTGTCGTTAAGAATCAGAGCGTGCTGGCCTAGTTTCTACGTAAATGCGATAAGTTCAACATTTTTAAGACCTCGCCCAGGTCGATCATCAACCGAAGCTGACAGAGATTCACATTATGATCCACTCGTTCTCATATTCTCGTGTGGATTTAGTCGCAATAATGATTCAATTTTACGCAAAGAGATGGCACTGCTCTTGTAACGATTCGAATGTTATATTGAATAGCGTCATCTGTTATCAGAATAAGAAACAAAATATCAATGTGGATAAAATTAAGTTAACCCGTAACAACTCTTATGGTTTGGGATTTAAGAAAAAGAACAGTGGATGGCGCTACTTTCAAGAGATTTTTTTATTGCTCTTGTAGGCAGGCGAGCATACGGCCCTGATGGTGAGTGGACTTGATGGTGAGTGGTTACCGTCGCCTATAAACGTCAGCAATGCCAGGGCCAAAGCTAAGCCCCTGTCTACCATTAATTGTTATTGTAATATCTTTAATACGTATTTTCGATTCAGTCTGATATTACGTTTAATTTGATTGAGAAAAATGCACGAAACGGAACTAGTTTTAACACATAGTAAATACATACGTTACATAATACATATATGAGAAAAAATTAGATCGTTATAAAATTATACAATTTCGAGTCTTTACTAAAAAAAAAAAAGTGAAAATCTTCACAATTTTGAGTGACTGTTTATGTCAACAATGTGCATTAAATTGAATGTAATTCGGTCAAACAAGCACGTGCCCGAAAACGTGCTCTCACAATCCTTGTTTCGAAACACTATTGGATTAATTCTACAAATCAAATTAATTTTCAATATTAAAATAATCCTTCGCATTATGTAGATATTGGTACTCTGTTAAAATATGTAGGTACCTAGCTCATCCTATAATTTTATGACTATTCTCGTATATTATAAGAATATTTTATATGACATTTGAGTCTTCAGTTATTACGATAATGGTTCATTTGTGTTGTGTTCTTTTTAATATTCAATTGCCTTATTAATTGAGGCCGTCCACGCAAAAGTGGCCTAAGCTTACCAGTTACCTCAGCTAGTATGGAGATAATGAGGTTCAAATTTACCTTTAAGGCAAAAAAATACGCGCTAAAATGATGTTTACAAATTCATCTACTATCTATGGATTGAAACTATATATCTATGTATAGCGATAGGCCGATTTTACATCGAAATTTATAATGTTTTACATAAACTGTAATACATAAGCACGAATATGAATTGTATGTTAGACCACTTTTGCGCTGACGGCCTCAATCACGATGCGTCCCACGTGGTCTTAAGTGACATCTCTGCACATAGGCATCGAAGAATATAGATATAGTAGGACGTATGTATATCGTTAAAAGTAACTTTATCTTTAGGCGTATTACGAGTATATACGAATTAAAAAATATCTAATTACTTTTCTTAAAATATAAAACATTTGGTATAAACTGTATGTTATATGAGGAATATTTTTTGTATATTTAAGACGAAAATCAATGAAAAAAGCATTGCTGAATGAAATAATATTAAGAATCACTTTGATAAATCAGGTCATAATCAAATCACATGGTTATGGTATAAGTACATTAAATTTCTTCCTTTGCAAGGAAACACGCGTGCTGATAAATTTAGTGTATCACAGCAATAGATATAAATCGTATGACATCAAGATATTTTCTCTAGTTTCAATTATTCAGAATGGAAAAAAAGGAATTACATTAGTGTAGACAAAACGCAACGCGTGTTTCCTTTGACTGTCGTGTAGATGGGATAGCTAACCAATATCGCCCATTAATTATTTTTCAAAAGAAATTAACAATTATTTAACTAATTAATTACTTATTAATTAATGAATTAATTAATTAATTACTTAAATAATTGATAATTTCTAATTAATTATTAAATAATTAATTATTTAAAGCTTTACGAATAAACATAGAGCGAATGAGTTGTGGTAAAAGCACAATTATCATGTACTCAACCTCTACAACATTGCCACATTTTTAGTTCGATGCATTGAGACTTTAATTAGTGATTTTCAAAGCTATTTGAGAATTGCTTAATTGACGTTCGTTCGCCATCCCCTCTATAATAATGTCACATTGTTTGTGGTATGCATCACGTACGACTTTCACAGGTGGTATGGACATGGGTGTGTTTGATGGTTGTCTTGTGGCTGAGGAGCTTGCATACGGATGCACCGGAATTATGACCGCAATGGAAGCCAGTGGACTTGGCGTGAGTGCCACTAAAATGTATGCATGGCTTACGCAATAAATAATGGAAACGTTAATTTTCTTTGTCCATTTAACTATTTTTATAACGTGTACTAAAATTTGTTAATAGGCATGATGACAGTAGTCAAGTATCGCTAAAATATTCAACTGATCTAATGAAACAGGATTCCAGGATTTTGAAAAATGTATTTATTTTCATATTAATGACGAGATTTATGATTTTTTTGTTAAAATAAATCTACAAAATACAACAATCAGCCATGATAGCTTAAACACCAATCAGAGCGAATGACGTCACGTTTTAGTAAACGTCATCTTGTTTCGTTTGAGCTTACGCGCGATTACTGCAATTTTAACAAAAAAAAAAACTATTGCTTTCGCCTTACCTGTCGCTAAAATACATTTTATAATCGTGTTTACCGTTTCCACAACAGAAGTTCCACATAAGCCATCAGCAAGCTCTCTAAATCTAATTTTGTTTAGAACCATGAGTATGTTTTGTTAGCAGGAATATTAGTATGTTTTTCTATTAAATCAATTAAGTAATAACAGCTTTTGGGAACTCCAATGTAAGATCGCGGGCTCTTTGTAATTTTAAGCAAGGTACATTCCGGAATTTTAGATGCCTCCTTATTTTTATCGTCTTGTATCATCTCACTGCAGTCTAATATAGATTTAATTTTAAGATATTGTTGATGGTGATGATTCTCTGTGCATTACAGATGGTGTAAAAGAAGTATCACTATCAGACTGATCTTCAGGGGGATATATTTGCCTTGTATGTTTATGTAATGTGGATGTCCATGGGAACGTGAAATTGCCTCTTGTAACTTTAAATGGTGATGTAGAAACAGAATAGGTATGAGGTTTCAAGGGTGATGTCATCTGATTTATTGATTTATTTTCTGTTTGAACGGCTTTACTTCTGAACTTGTGAGTAATAAATACTTGAATAGACTTATCAGTCGTTCTCGGGGGAATGTTTTCTGTTAAATTTCCTTATAAGTTGTCACGCAAAACTAAAAAGTAAAAATAGCAAATTATTTGACAGAAATAAAATGCAGGACTTAATAACATACCTAGGTAAATACAATCTGCACTTCTTTTTACAAACAATAAATCAGAAATAATAGTTAGTAATTATTTTTCATGACCTTATTTATGGTACATGTTGAAGAGGGGGAACTCTGATATAAAACCTTATATTTTGTAGGATAAATATTTTTTTCACGTTATTTAGATAATTATCTCGATAATTAACAAAAAGAAATCGGTTAGTAATAAATTTTTAAAATTCGTAAAATCAGTATTTTATCCTTGCTACCCCTAGTAAGCTATCATTTACCAACGTTAGTGTAAGGAAAAAAGTTGGATATCTAGTTAAAAGGAAGCTACTCACGAAAAATCAGCATGTTAGTAATAAATGATGAAAAGTGTACCAGGGATCCTGTACTATATTGTGGGTGGTAGTGATGCTTAAATAACATAAAATACGTTTGAACATTTCAACTAAACTAAACTATTTCATTCGGTTCGTAGACATAATTAAAACTACTTTTACGGTTTAGTCTGAGGCTTAAAATAAAAATAAAATAGATAAGTTTTAAGTTAAAAAACAAACGTGTGATTAACCCGTAAACGTAATCTTAATTATAAACTACAAAATTTGATGTTGGTAATAATCTCTTGCTATCAAAATTTGCAGTTAAGCAACCGGTAAGTTTTATATCATTGCAAATTGTTTTATTATGAAATTAGAGATTGGATACTTGTAGAATGCATTGTTCAGCGTCTTCATTGTTTGATAAGTTCCAGTTATAAAAACAATATCGTTTTTCAACTACAAATGCTTCGTAATGTCTAAGCGTAATTTTACTAAATCAACTGTCTAGGCACTATGTAAATAGTTGTTGTGTTACTCACCTTCATTATAAGAATGTTTATAAACAAATCGGAGTGTCGTAATATTATACAATTGGGATTAAATTTAATGGTATTTGATCTAAAGATGCGCGGTGAAATGAATAAAACTTCAATAACGTACAATGATTCTATGATATTAAACTGTAAATCAATTTTTTACCAAGCTTCTGGGTGAAGGGGGTGAAGGGTAGATGTTCAATATCACGCGTAGTTTGTTTACTGGAATATTCATTATTTAATTAGAAAATTATATTCAGAAGAAAATCGTTAGTAGTTAGTAGTCATTAGCGGATTGTCCGTTTTTCATTGTATATGTTATAAAACGAGTATACACGAGATTAGTAAATACAAATCCAATAAGATTGTGAAAAACGTCGTTAAATAGTTAACCGATTACAGTTTTTAAGATTTCTCTAGTAAAGGCATCACTCAACTTCCAGGTGGGCTGCGAGCTCGTCCACACATCTAAGCAATAAAAAAAACTGATCTATTGGATGTACTATAAAGTCGTAAAATTCCACCAGTACTTCAAATAATATCTCTTAAAAAGTGTTTTGTTTTAATTGTGAATAACGGATTTTTTCTAGAAATTTTACTATATTTTGACATTTGTGCGACCAGGCATCAATTTCTATTTTCTAAACAAATAGGCGGCTACCTCCACAGCAATTTACTAACCACTTAACGTTTGTTGATTATGATTTGCCACACCGTGTATTAAGTGACAACTTAAAAACGGCAAATTAATACACATGTCACATTGTTGAGATATGTGTTATTTCATTACGTGATCATGGCGGCGGAAAGTTTTAATTGTCTAACGATAAAATTTGTTCAGGAAATGAAATTCTTGATGTACATATGTTTTTTTATATGAGCTAAAATTGAAATGTTATTATGTTCGTAATTCGTAGAAAACTCGTGGAAACTCTGCTTTATCGTTTAATTTATTACATAACTTGCTTAACTAGTACCTTAACTAAAAAAATAAAGATTTTATTATTAACAAAGAGTCAAATCAAAATAATTTAACATAAATCAACTAACACAGTAGAACAGATCTTCCAATGTGCTTGAAGGAGGCACAGTTCCCAAGATACTGGCTACGTTGCCTCGTGGACAGCCAGACTCACTCTCTGTGCAAAGTACCAGCCAGTCTTAGCATCACGTGTAACCTCCTTCAAGCGTTTGGAGATTTCTGTTCCTTAACTTATTTCTCTTAATGAACCATATTGAAGCATGTCACATTTATAATCGTGATAAATCAATTAATGGATTATAGGCATTACCGATTGCGATCTTTATTGAACGTCTAGTCTTCGCCTTAAACTATTGTTGCTTCCGCACACACTTATATACGAGTATTTATTTAAATAAAATTTTAATACATCAAGCTTGAGTTAAACGAGGAACTGTATTATAATTTTCTAGAAAACCAGAGGGTATCGCAAATGCAACAACAAGAAACATTTAATACAAAACTAGCCTCAGAATTTTAAATATTTGCCTCAATCCATACATTCATATTGACGCTGTCATTTTTTTCTTTGTCTTTGTCTCCGCTTACCCAGCCTTTGTTAATATGAAGTTTATATGTGTCGAGGTTTGCATTATCATGTTCGAAAATATAACATAAAATCTGTGGCGAAATAAAAATTGATGGTTATCGATATATTCCTGCAAAATTGATACATTTATTATAAAAATGTTGTTACATTTGTTTCGGGTATATCAATATCATTTTTATGTGTGTATCTATGTCTTGTATATTACAATTTATGGTTTTTTTAATATTGCAAGGCATTTGTTTCTGTATACAACGCATCATTCATTGGGGTTCATTGGAAGTATGGATGCTTAGTAATTTTCCAATTACAATATTTCGTTCGATTAGAGGCGCGTAGGTACATATATATACTTTGTTATTTCAGCAAACTCCCGTCATTATTGCTGGAAATAAGGAGCAGCAGAAGAAATATCTGGGTAGACTAATCGACGAACCATTAGTCGCTGTGAGTATACCTTATCTTTATTATTATTTACAATTAAACATAAACATGTGATGAAATGCATTTTTATTAAAATTTACATAACATATCCTAACTAATGCGGATTGAAAGAATATTTTTATATCATAACTGTGACAATTGCCAAAATATATACTATGTGTATATAAAATATAATTACGTACGAGTACGTATTAAAATAAAATAAAATAGAATTAATATAATTATTTCGTACGATTTGGCACGAAATAATGCTGTTTCATTAAATAGCATTTGAAAGAGTAATTTGTATAAAAGTATTTCATTTCCAGTATCTAGCTCCCCTTGTTTACAATTTAGGCGTAATTTATGATATGTGATTCTATGAACCCCATTAGGCCTATGGGGTGACCGAGCCTGGTGCTGGATCCGATGTAGCCGGTATAAAGACGAGAGCGGAGAAGAAAGGCGACGAATGGATCCTGAACGGTCAGAAAATGTGGATCACCAACGGTGGTGTTGCCAACTGGTAAAATTTAAATAATCACAAATATTGGTCTTTATCTATGATTTTTTTTTTATTGCTTTGATGGGTAGACGTTCTTACAGCCCACCTGGTGTTAAGTGGTTACTGGAGCCCATAGACATCTACAACGTAAATGCGCCACCCACCTTGAGATAAGTCCTAAGGTCTCAGTATAGTTACAACGGCTGCCCCACCCTTCAAACCGAAATGCATTACTGCTTCACGGCAGAAATAGGCGGGGTGGTGACACATACCCGTGCGGACTCACAAGAGGTCCCACCACCATTAAAAATGCCGTTTAGTATACAGAAATTTAATCTTTTCTTTAATATTTAATATTTTTTGTTTCTACATACAAAATATGCATCCATGGTATCAATGCATCTCTGCCAGCGCAGTGTTAATCTTTCAATGCCTTTTTTGAAGTAGTAAGGTGTACCGGAGGCAACAAACTCTTCAAATGCATTTTGTACTGCCTCTCAGCTATTGAGACTTCCTCGCCAAGAAGTTGTCCAAACTTTGATATGTTTGAATAAACATACATATCGGAATAAAGAAATATGTTTTTATTCAAGGTAATTTCGAATTAGGAATACGGAATCCCGCACTTAACATAAGTTCAAGATTCACTTCCAAGGTGAAGGAATAGCGTCGTATAAAAAAACCCCTCTAAAATTATAATTTGCGTAATTACTGATGGTGGTGGTAAGGCGTGTTGTTGTGTAGGGGTAGTTACCATCATACTGCCTATTTCTATCAGTAATGGGTTTCCATTTTAAGGGTGGGGCAACCGTACTATGTAAAAAAGTGGGTGGCGGGCCATATACGTTGTTGATGTCCATGGGCTCCGGTAACCACTTAGGACATGGACCACTCGGACCGTAAGCTCGTTCACACATCTAAGCAGAAAATAGTACATTGTGCACCAAGGGAGAAAAGTAGAACATTTCTTCCCGCGTGTAAAATTACTCGGCTCGGTACTCCACGAACTTTTGGCGTAGGTACGAGAAAAAATATAATTCCCGTACTCAAATTATTAACCAATTACTTTAATTTAATAACAAGGTACTTTGTATTGGCTCGTACGAATCCGGACCCTAAATGTCCGGCCAGCAAAGCATTCACCGGCTTCATCGTCGAACGGGAATGGCCTGGAGTCACTCCAGGGCGAAAGGTACTTTACTTTATAAACCCATATTATAGTTTCAATTTACATTAGCAGATTATTATTGTAAAAATAAATCTATAGGGTATTTTATCAATTAAAAATGTTTAAACATATCGACGATTGAAAGGCAAATGTGACTAAGCGACAATGCGTTAATCCGAGGCTCTGTGGTTTCACGGGCCGCGGAGGGCGCCACCCGTTGACGCCCACATCGTGGTTGGAGGCGTCCGGATAGGGTTCGGGGTGCAGTTGAAGTACCTCGGCCTCGTGTTGGACAGCCGGTGGGCTTTTCGTGCTCACTTTGCGGAGCTGGTCCCCCGATTGATAAGGACGGCCGGTTCTTTGAGCCGGCTGCTCCCGAATATTAGGGGACCGGATCAGGTTGTGCGCCGCCTCTACGCGGGGGTGGTGCGATCGATGGCCCTGTACGGTGCACCTGTATGGGCTGAGCCGCGCAACCGGGCCACTATGGCTCGGTTCCTGCGCCGGCCGCAGCGCACCTTTGCCATCAGGGTCATCCGCGGATATCGCACCGTCTCCTTCGAGGCGGCGTGTGTGTTAGCGGGGACGCCGCCATGGGAGCTGGAGGCGGAGTCGCTCGCTGCCGACTATCGGTGGCGCAGCGAGCTTCGTGCTCGGGGCGTGGCGCGTCTCCCCGAAAGTGAGCTGCGGGCGCGGAAGGCCCATTCTCGGTGGTCCGTGCTCGAGTCGTGGTCGAGGCGATTGGCCAACCCCACGTGGGGGCTACGGACCGTCGAGGCGGTTTACCCAGTCTTTGATGACTGGGTGAATCGTGGCGAAGGACGTCTCACCTTTCGTCTGGTGCAGGTGCTGACCGGGCACGGATGCTTCGGGAAGTACCTGCGCCGGATAGGGGCTGAGCCAACGACGAGGTGTCACCATTGTGGACACGACCTGGACACGGCGGAGCATACGCTCGCTGTCTGCCTCGCTTGGGAGGTGCAGCGCCGTGTCCTGGTCGGAAAGATAGAACCTGACTTGTCGCTGCCTGGCGTCGTGGCATCGATGAGTCCTGGAAGGCTATGCTCGACTTCTGCGAGTGCACCATCTCGCAGAAGGAGGCGGCGGGGCGAGTGAGGCAAAGCTCTCCTCACTACGCAGAAACCCGCCGCCGCCGAGCAGGGGGTCGGGACCGGGGTCGTATCCGTGACCTGGCCCCCTAAGAGCTAGGGGTCCCACCCGTTTTGTGCGGGGAGAGACCCAGACGTGGGGTGGCGTGCTTTGCACGCTCACCCGCAGTAGGAAGCCGGGTGATGGTAGACCGCGTTCCCCCGACCGCTCTGGGGGAAGGTGTAACGCGGCGCCATCAAAGCGGGCTCTCGGCCCGCTGAACGAGGAAACCGGTGGTCGTGTCGCTGGCGGCCGCCGGTCCGGCGTACGTGGGACGGTGAGATGGATGTAATGTGCTCTGCGTCAACCCTGTCCCGCCGTTTCAATAGCCCCGACTGGGCTCCGGCCCGGTCCGAGGTAGGGCGCCGGTTGTGAACGGCAGGAGTTTTTAGTGAGGTTCAACTCCCACATACCCCACCTGCCGCGCGGGTGGGGATCCGGCGATTTTCTCCTGTGGAAAAAAAAAGCGACAATGCGTGAACTTTACAGTAGACTAATTTAAAGTTGAAATACCTGAAAAAAATCTATTTTAACGAATCTAGCTGTAGGATTGAAATGATTTTAATAGACCTAGAAATATGTATTTTTTGCACATCGAATATGGTTATTGCCTATCATTTATGTATAAAGCAGTTATTGTTGTTTAGTCACGTTTGCCTTTCATGCGTCGATATACAGTCAAGAAATAGTAAAACTGGTTGTGTGTTTGTTAGCGAGATAGATAGATAGATCTGATAAATGTTACAAAAATGGAGCATCATATCTAGGGTGTCAAATTATAATTGATGTTTTTATAAACAAAAAAAACACAAAAAACTAAGAAATTATTTTGATTTCATTGTGTCCACTTTCAGGAGTGTCCGTGGGCATTTGTAAGCTACTAAAAAGATATTGCTGTATTGCCAGCGTGTACATTGAATCATAAAGTGTCGCTAAGAACTTTTCCCACGTCCATTCAAAGAAAAATGTCATAATATGAAGCAAGCTAGTGTACATATAATTAAGGACTAATGACCCTCGCATCATACACCCAGAAGTTCCAAGCGATCGATCCCGATGTAGACGATACACTACAGGGCCAAACCCCTGCTTAAGCACGTTAAGCTTTTGACCCGGAGCGAAGTGCCACTTCGCTCGGATGAAGTTGATTTCGATGCTTTATTAGCGGTTTATTTATTTCGAATTACTCGGAAACAACAACATCAAGACTACAAATTATGCTATCGGACTTTTACGGGGACTGTTATAATTATATTTAATTATGTATATACTAGGAACAAAACATGGGTCAGCGTGCTTCGGACACCCGAGGTATCACGTTTGAAGATGTGCGTATCCCCAAAGAAAATGTGCTTATTGGCGAAGGAGCTGGATTCAAGATCGCCATGGGAGCCTTTGACAAGACTCGTCCTCCGGTAAAACAAACACTTTCTATAATTTTACAGTGATTGAGTCTGTCGGTCTGAACGCGATAATTTTTTTTTTATCTTACCTATGCTGATAGCCTTGAGAGGCTATTTCAGGTTCACTCTAACGTGTGTAGGTGAGCTCACGGGGCTCAAACCGGAGTGTTGCTAACACTGGCCCTAGCAAGAGCAGAGCTTCGCAGAATCTACCACCGGATAGGAAACGCGACCCACTGAGAAGATCCGGCGAGAAACTCAATGGGCTAGGCGATCATCCCAGCGAACATTTTAATTACTTCTAGACGATTTTACCAACAGATAGTTCAAGTTATATATTATATATGATTAAATTTGAGTTTCAGAAAAATGGGGTTAAGCGGTTGTACGTCAGCATTCTGGTTTTATTTGTACTGCAAAAAAGAGAATGCCTTTCATTTGATATTGCGTTTTCAGACAAAGGGAATTTCGCAGCAGCCCCGCGCGCTAAACATTCGGGGATATCGGAATAACATGTTTTTTCATTTCTCAGTTTGTTTCGAAATCATTGTGCCCGTTTCGCTTTTCCATGAAAACGGACGCGGTAATTCATTAGCATAACCGAGATAATGCGGGCTGGTTGCTGACTGAAATCAGTTTTTGCATATCTTTGACACACCCCGGCGACTCTACAATACATAAGCATATTATATATTTCGTTACGAAATCTAGGCCGCTTATATGAATTTCAAATCGAATAATTCTGAAACGTTTCTTGAGCAACTACTCTATATAGGTTAAAGTTTTATTTAAAATGTATATATTTTCATCGGTTTACAAGAATTCAAATTGGAGCTCGACGAACGGTATATTTCTATCCAACGATTATATTAACGAGTTGATGCTTCGTCAATGCGTACAGTAGTTGTTTTATTTTCGGTATTTATTATTATAAAGAGGCTTCATTCATCAAATATATGTAGAGGTTTTTCCTGGTTGTAGGACCTCTTGTGAGTCCGCACGGGTAGGTACCACCACCCCGCCTATTTCTGCTGTGAAGCAGTAATGCCTTTCGGTTTGAAGGGTGGGGCAGCCATTGTAACTATACTGAGACCTTAGAACTTATATCTCAAGGTGGGTGGCGCATTTGCGTTATAGATGTCTATGGGCTCCAGTAACGACTTAACACCAGGTAGGCTCGTCCACCGATCTAGGCAATAAAAAAAACATGTAAGTTGATATAAAATAGCACCACCCTATCTATCTATTTCCGTGGGTGTCGTAAAAGCCGACTAATTTTGTACCCTTTATGAAAATTGCACGGACGGAGGAAGATGAAATTTCCCACACATAAGGAGTGCAGAATGCAAATTATTTTATTTAATTATTCATTAATAATATAAGTATCTGACAGTAGAACCCTAATAATATTCAAACATAATTTCAAATTAATTTCGAATTTCGACTACTGCGGGACGACTAGTCAAAATAAATTTTCGTGGTCCCTCGCTTAAGTTACTAAGTTTTTAAACGTTCAGGTAGCGGCTGGTGCTACTGGGTTGGCTCAACGGGCTCTCCACGAAGCCACCAAGTACTCGTTGGAACGCAAAACGTTCGGAGTGCCCATAGCGAGACACCAGGCGGTAGCGTTCATGCTTGCCGACATGGCGATAGGAGTGGAGACCGCTCGTATCGCATGGCAACGCGCCGCATGGATGGTTGACCACGGTTTGTCACGCACTCTATTTTGATGTCACCTTTTATTAGCTTCAGATGTATGTATGTTTGTAAAAGAACCTTTGAACATGATTTTGACCCCCTTCAAAACGTCGGATTAACTCGAAATTTGGTATACTTATTATGACGATTCATATTAAAAAAAATTGAAAAAACAAAAAAAAAATTGTTTGATTTTCTATAAAAGCGTATTTTATTACTTTTTTTAAACTATTATTTATGATAATATCCTGAAAAGCACCTCACGCTTTTTTACAATAAAATCATTTTTTCCTAAACTATTTTTAATTCAAATTTATTGTTTATTAGTCTTCACATTTTCTCAAAACTCACACGTACTATACAGTAAATTGGTCATTAATCGATATATTAAAACTTTAATTTTCGATTTTATCGTGCTATCTCGTTGACAGGACAAAAGAATACAGTTATGGCATCAGTGGCCAAGTGTCATGCTTCGGAAATCGCTAACAAGGCAGCCACTGATGCGGTGCAAGTGTTCGGAGGAAACGGCTTCAACACCGAATACCCAGTCGAGAAACTGATGCGGGACGCCAAGATATACCAAATCTACGAAGGAACCTCGCAGATTCAAAGGCTCATCATATCAAGAGAGATCCTCACCGCAGCAACTCAAACCAACTGATGTGTTAACAAAAGTAGCGTAGTTGCTAAAGTATAATAATATTGGGTGTGTAATGGGATGGGGCCATCGGTTGAACTCTATTGTATTATTTCATATATAGAAACAGTCTTCCAGTCGAACGAAAAAAAAAAACAAGAGTAAAAACAAATATACATTTCTCATATTAAAAATGATCACGTTGTTACATGTATAATGTGATTTCTTATCATATGCAGCCCGTTTTAATAAAAACTAGATCATGAATGTTTGAATGTATAAAATTGTTTTTGTCTTACAGAAACAATGTTTTAATATAGAGTTCATTACCCTGACTCTATGTATGACACAAGTCTGTTTTTCTTATAGATTTGTACGTTTGTAAGTTTTTCCAAAAGTTATTTTAATTATTATTAAGTTATCAAATTTATACAAAGACCCAATAAAAATAATGCAAAACGACACTTCCTTTTTGTTTTCCTGGCGTAAATGTATACATGAGTTTTTATTTTCATTATATGCTTTATATTTGCCTTATTTATAACAAAACAACATAATATCTTATATGTAATGTGCAATATAATGGTATTATGTGCTTTTTTGTAAATGTAATTTTACATCGTATATTGCTTAATACAGATATTAAGTCAAGATGAAATGGCACAACATCGTGAAAACGAAATGGATGGAAGTGGTCCAGACCCTCAGACACGAGGATCCTGTTTAATTGGCTTAATCACATTAACTATTATAACATAATTATAAAACTCCTTTACAAAATCCTTCATAGTTATGTACCTTTAGAATACTTTAGATTAACACGCTCTTAAAACAATATAACTAGCAGTGGCTACTTACAAGTTGATCAATCTGCAAGCTTGTTGATATCGAGTCGACGCGAGTAGACACCTACATCCTGCTTATTTCTGTTGAGTGTTAATAATCATGCGCTCCACTCTAAATGATGGGATAATCAAAATATAACACAATCGAGATCTCGGCTTCATGTTTCACCGTGGGTGGCGACATTCACGTCTGTGGATTCCAGTAATCACTTCACAAGAATTGAGCCCTAACTTCGTTCGTCGTCGTCTTAAGCAGATGCAAGAAAAGTTGCTCAGACAGTTCCGGAATGATAACAATTAACAATGTAGACTGTCCGGTGTATACTTTCATGTTTTTATTTGGTTCTTGGTTCGCCTCCGTGACGCAAAGCCTGGCTATATACAGATATGAGGGCTTATATATTATTCCCGATTCGCGTCCCTCGACTTATATTAAATATGCAACTCAAAATATCTAATATTTTCGTATTGCATAAGTCAGTTATTACTTACAAAGAAGCATTATATTTATAGTTTTAAAATAAAATATATATTTTTTGGATTGAAGTAAACTTACCTCCTTAGTGCAAATCTGGAGGGACCATAATGTTACAGAAAAGACGCCAAGAATTCGTAGTCATACGATTGTGCTGTGTTCGATCTTTGGGTACAAATTTTGTTGTCTTGTGGGTAGGTACTAATTTTTAGCACGCTTTTATTAGCTTTGTATGTATGTATCTTAGTGTGTTTAGTTTCATGTAAAGGAATCATTGAACATAATTTCCATCGGCTTCAACATTTCCAAATAGCTTTAAAATTTGCACACGAATCAAGTTTTTTTTTTTTTTTTTCCTACCTGATCTGAGAGCCTTGAGAGGCTATTTCAGCGTAACCCTAACGTTTGTAGGTGAGCTCACGGGGCTCAAACCTGATGACGTTGCTAACACGAACCCTAGCAAGAGCCGTGCTTCGCAGAATCTACCACCGGATCGGAAACGCGACCCACTGAGAAGATCCGGCGAGAAACTCAGTGGGCTGTGTCTGAGAGTTAATTTACTCGTCGAGCCCTTCGTCGCAAGCGACGGGTTCGACGAGAACGGTGACCGGTGCTTGAAGTACCTAAAAGCACCGTTAGTGGATCAGGAGGATCCGAGATGACGTGTTTAGGGCGACGTCGACTGCTTTCCATTCTGTCCGCAGGATCGGGAATGTAGTTACCGGCGGCCACGATGAGAGGGTTCTCGTGTCGTGCCGCTTTATCGAAGTGGCGCATGGACGCCGACTGCAGATACTTACTGATGGACTCTAAGTCCAGGTCGTCATGGAGGTCGACGTTCCTGACGAACCACGGGGCTCCGACGGCTATCCTGCAAAAACGGGATTGAATAATTTGAAAGGATTTTAAGTGTATGCGGGCCGCGTGAGCGAACACTACACTTGCATAGGTCATGACGGGGCGTATGCAAGTTTTGTAGAGTGTCACCTTATTTCTAAGGGACATTTTACTTCGCCTACATATCATCGGGTAGAGACGTCCTAGGATGAAGGCGGCACGATCGCGTACCGTCTTGATGTGGGGGCGGAATGTCATCCTACTGTCGAGGGTGACGCCTAAATATTTGACCTTCGGGGCCCACGGTATGGGCTGGTCGTACATCGTGATTGGGCGAACGGCGGGGGCGGAGGTGTTGACGCGCCTAGTCGGGAGAGGGATGCTCAGCGTGGTGTTCGGAGGGCGACCCCTTTTGAAGAGCACCGCTGTGCTTTTCGTGGGGTTGATGTCGATGCGCCACTTCCGGAACCACTGTCCCATGGTGGTAGCTGCGGTCTGAAGTCGTCGATGAAGCAACGCCTTCTTCCTACACGAGTAGTAGATGGCGGTGTCATCGGCGAAGAGCGCCAGATGGGTCTCCGGAGACCGGGGTATATCATTGATATACAAACTAAATAGTAACGGGGAGAGGGCGGAGCCTTGCGGGACTCCGGCTGTGACGTGACGGGGCCGGGAACGCGTTCCCTCGACTCGACGGAACGAACTGTTCGACAAGTAGTCTCGTATGATGAGCACGAGTCTGTCTGGCACTCCCATGTTATACAGTTTGTATATCAAACCGTTGTGCCAGACTTAGTCGAACGCCTTCGCTATATCGAAGAAGAGGGCTCCTGTCGGAATGGGACGAATCGAGGACCGACGATAATACTTATATACCTACGTTATACATACGGCTTGAATAGTTACAACATTAAAAAAGAGGTGAAATTAATTGTTACTTAGCGTAAATAGCAAACTAATTGCTATTTAGGTAAGCGTGTTTTTAAGTTTATAAACTACATATTTTAAGTAATTATGTGTCTAATTTGTTCACGAAATATTCGCAGGACGCAGCAACGCGTCATTAATTAAACCCGCAGAGTTAAGAAAAAGTCTAATATGATAATTATTTGAAATATTTGATTTAGGGACAGATTTTACAAAATTGACTTTTATTTTATGTTATTGTGTGTTTGCTTTTTATAATGAATTACGGGTTCAAGAAATATAAACTTACTAAAACGACAAGAATTTATGCTTAGGTTAGAAAATTAGTCTCTTATTTTACTTTCGGTTTGATGCAAGAAGAATTGGTCAACAAATGTTTCCAGTTGAAAAACCAAAACACTGGTAAGTTTCTGAATTAACGTTGAGGTCAGCAGATAACTTAAAACAAGCTACTCTTTCTAAAAGTAAAACTAAATCTTATTGAAATAGGTACCTAACTTCATTTTTTTGTTGCTCTTTCTTCTGTAATGATGATAAGGGTCTGATGTTAACATACTTTTCATATGTACTGAAGAATTGTTTTATAGGTAACAAGCCATAAGTAATTTTAGAGTTTATAGACGATTGGATTTATATTCTGCTAAATTAAATTTGTCATTGACAATAATTTAATTTGTATTTACAACATCACCATTGCAACAGCTTCAAATGAATTGGGTCAGTTGCACGCATTGTATTTTTTAAACAATGTCAATAGATGGCGTACTCAGTTAAGGTGTTTGGTTGGTTGAGCAAAAAGAAAACAATTTTCGATGCGAAAATCCATTAATATTTTAACAAGCTCATTCCATTTATAAAATATTAATACTTAAAATGTTTAGTTTTAAAAAAAGTAAAAAAGCTTTAACCTTGAATTGTTACGGTGAACAACGCCATCTGTGAAAAATAGGTTCTAACTAACGCACTGCTTCGAGTGTTTTTCTTGAAGAGTGCGCTACTTGTTTCCGGAATGTGCAACACTGATACTGTTCTTTTATTCATCTTAATATTTTATAATTTGAATATATTATTCAGTATTAAAAAAATATCAACGAAAATTTCTTTAAGAAATATTAATAGTTGAACCAACGGAAACTAAAATCGTATTTTTAAATAAAGTGATTCGTGCAGTCAAACTCATAAAAATTGACCTACATTTGGAGCCCTTGTGAAAGGATTGTGCAATAGAAACGGTCATTTATTACACAACAGAGTGTATTCATAAGCATACGTATTCATTTAATATTATTTTCATTTATAATTGCGCTTGTAGTTTTTTCAGAAATAAATATATTAAGCACCTTCAAATTGAAATTTGTTATAATTGATGATATTAATACACATTATATCGTTTATAATATTATATTTCATAAATAATATTTTAAAGCAATTATTTATCCCTAAAACGGGCTATGACACATATTTATTTCAAATTAGGTTAATTTCTCGCTGCCCTTTACCGACTTATTTCAATGTCAGTCATCAGTACAGTAGCTCCATTGAATCAGAGTTATGTCGGTCGGAATATCAAAGTGTAAGTGAAGTGGCCTAGAGACCTACATTTTGTTTTTGAAACGTAAAATCGCTTTATGGACGATTTTTTAAATAGAATATTTCCCTAGACACCTAATATATATCGTAGAATTTGTAGGCGATAAAATACGGTCGCCTCGTCAGATTATTCGTGTATAATGCACGAAGACGCTCCAAAAATGAGTATAGCGCAAAGTCTGGCCGCCTCCACGAGCCAGCCAAAAGGTGATATCGTTACAGAAATTCCCCTGGAATTCGCCATGAGCTCTATGGAGACAAAATCTATCGAAACAACCAACGTGGAGTTGAAAATTACCTACGTAGATCCTACAACTGGTAAGTTTTCATCGCATTCTAGAATTATCAATTCTATCTTTTCGTAACCAGTCTGTAGCAAAGGCGGATATAGCGGAAATTCAGTCATTCAGTCTTATATCCGTCTAATGAAGCATGCACTTTTAATGGCTTTCGTAAACATTTTCTAATTGAAAGCTTATATCTACTGTCTTACCCTTATTAGAACTTAAAATTTTAATAGGTATGAGAAAAATAAATTTATGCGTCACATTTTGTGAACATATTGCTTTTAGTGAACATTTAAATTGGATTCCGCTAAAAGTTAAAGGGATATGAGGCCTGGACCAAAACTCAAATATTTTATCATTCAAGACAAGTGTTGTATAATAACGCATACATATATATGTATGTAGATACAATGTGTTGTATGCATTGTAGAGGCTACCTGCTCGTACGCTCGGCTGCACGGTGTGGCAACGTCGCATTTGTTTTTTGCGTTATCCTGCGAT